CGTGGCTGTAGACCTCTGCCAAATGTGCATCTATTGGGGTATGTGAAGTTGTGAACACCGGAGACCAGCGTATGCATCGGTCAGACAGACCAGACCACTAGTTAGTAGGAAACGACACACGGGTGTAGTGTAGCCTCGAAGCGCGTCAGTGTGGTGCTGCCAGTACAGCTTAGGGCCGTTAAGTACTCCCACTTGATTGTATTATCAGTCAGTTTTCTTGAGAAAGCAGGAGCCAAATCATGGCCCGTCCAGGGAGGGAGGGGGCCGAGATTATTTGAAATCCTTTGGGCGTTTCACATTCTAGCATAGCAATAGCAGGACGGTTGAGGGCGGGCATGATTGGAGGGCCGGCGACAGGTAAAGAGGAAAAGGCGCGAGCACTGTGGGCGAACATGGCGCCAGCGACCTATCTAGCCAGCCTGCCTGCCTCCAATGGCGGAAGGAAAGCAAACCCCATGATGCATGTAGATGTTGTAGGAGCCATGGCCCTGGCTTGGGACTTTGCCTGTACCCAAGCCAATAAGCCATGTCATGTCACACACTGCTGCTACCAGCACGGATACGGTAGGGCGATAATGGATGGATGGGGGAGCGCCGTGATCTCAGGGACGGATTGGCAGATGCACCTGATGTTTCCCAACGCATGTTCAGGCGGGCCGCGCCCGCTGCCCCCGATCTACTCTACTAGTGCTGCTGCCGCTGCGTCGGTGTGTCTGTCTGAAAGCGCTCGGAGGCGGGAGTGCGCCGCGATCATGGCGGACACCTCACACACACGCCCACCATCCCACCTTGGCATAGTACTTGACCCATTGAAAGTTTGAACTGCGTCCCCTAAAAATCCATTCGTTTCATACCAGTTTTGCGCAATCTCATGGCTTTCAGCATATCGAACGAGTTCTCCATGCAAGGAGTGAGTCCCGGTGTATATACACAGGCCATTGGAGCAGTTCAGCAGTAGTGCTCGGATCACCGAACGGAAAGCAATGCAAGGAGTCTTATGACATTTCTTCAAGCAAACGGCTGCTTCTTACGTTTAAAGCAAACAATTCCATGGAGGGATATATAATCACGTCCAAGCTACGGAAAGCGAGGTATGTTTGGTGCTCCCAGGATACCAACAGCAGTGAAAGCGATCCTGTCAAAATCAACCGGGGCTCTTAGGTGAGTGACGCGACGCCCCACCCGCCCCGTGTAGAAATTTATAACACTCATCTGGCGACCACTACTATAAGCGGGGACAAATCGTACCAACAAAATTGCGCAAAATCGACATCACCTGGAATTGTATGCATTTCATCAACATCACCCCTAACGGTCGCAACATAAATAAAAGAATAAAGATACTTCTGAAAACCAGCGATGCCGACACGGTACTATACCTTTGTCTATACCAATATTCTCCCTGATCAAGGCGCTAGTTACTTTAGTCTAATATGATCTACCAGGACTTCAAACTTTAGTAAAGAAAAAGAAGCATTCATTACCATAGAATTTGTATGGAGTGGCCGACATGGAAATGACAGAAAGGAAAAGTCTTTCTTTTTCCTACACAAAATATGCCTGCGATCAAACTCCAGGGCATCATCAACCAACTAAAACGGTCGATTTCTGCAGCAAGAGGCAACGCACAACAGGTTCGGTACAAGCAGAAATCTGTATTAACATTACCCACTGACGCTGAGGAGCCGACGGGTGCCCGTACAAGCAGAAATAATCCACAAAGAATAATTGGTACATCATACAACTTAAGCTCAGAGAGCAGTCAAAGAGCACATGACACTAGGCTGTGTTGTAATACAAATTCATCGTGTTCATCTTAAGCACACATGACCTACCGAACAAGAGACGGGTGATGAGGCGGCTCATTATTGTCGCTAGGGTCTGTTAAGACACCTATATCGTCTATATGTGCAGCCATCAGCAGGGTTTTACTTCTCCGAGCTGAGTCTTCCTGTGTCCACCTGGGGATCTGCACAACATAACATCTTAGGCTCAGATTTGCTTCTGAATGAAGCTCAGAAAAGACAAAAGCCCATTCAGGTTGCAGCGAAAATGATTCATTACCAAACTATTTTGTAGGTATTCAATCTGAATGTTAGCTAACAAGTCATGTTCTCCTACTATTAAAGGTTTACACTGGATTACTGGACAGATGTTTTCAGATAGACTAATGTAAACACTGAACAAGTATCTACTGTCAATCAGCAAGGGCCCCTACGCCACATTATCTGTAATAACACTTCCCAAAAGTGGCAACAGTCACATTCCAGGTGATGATAATCCGAGCCAGCAAGTTATCCACTTTAGTCTATCGCAAATGCAATGTGGTAAGCTACTGCATTATTTTAGTCTTTCCAGCAAAAAGGGTATTAATGTTAACATCATCTGATCATGCATAAATAAATAGGATAATATTGTGTGTAGATGGCTGCATAATATGACAACAATAAGACAAGACAGGCCTAAAGGCTAGAGTTCAAATGGTGGCATATATAGAATATCAATGACAGTTAGACCAATAGAGTAACTATAAAATATTTTCCTAAGGATTGTGAGCAAACTTACCCCAGGTAAACTTGCAAGGACAAATTAGCTTTCCTCATCATCAGTTTTAGCATTTTTCCTTGACTTCTTCACTGGATGCCAAACTTTCCCTTTTAACAGAAATTAATTATTAGCCTACCAAACAACAATGAAGATCACAGCCAAAAGGGGAAGCTCCCAATCTAACAATCAAGGTCTTGGATGCACATGCATCTACTAACTCATAGACTCATGGATAATCTGTAACCAATGTAATCAAACTACCATCACTCCATCACTTCTTCCAAAACATAAATCTAACTCAAAACCAGACAGTACTCAACATAAGCCTCACACACCAAATCATATATGGTACTCCCTCCGTTCCAAATTACTTGTCGTGGGAATAGATGTATCTAGATGCATTTTAATGCTAGATACATCCATTTCTGCGACGAGTAATTTAGAACGGAGGGAGTACAAGACAATTGTAACCATTTTGGGCCTCAAGGGAGCAGTAGCACAGTATACTAGACCCATCATATATAACCCTACATAATTCTCATAGTGGAAAACAGCATCAAATAATCTCACCAGCCAATGTTTATCAAACAACAACTCCCAAGTTGTCGAATGCATGACTAGACAACTAAACTAACCCAGGTTTTCTATATTTAGGCGCCACTATATATACGATGTCTGATGTTTCAATATTTCACTTATGATGGCTGTAGGACACAACAGGCATCACATGACAATGACAAACCAATATCAGCAAGCTCTACGTAGAGTGGAAAAGAAGAAGCCTGCTCACACATCAAGTCCAAATTCTAAGGCCCGCTAGGGTATCCTTCTCTATGTCTACCGATTTGCTCAAAACCATTGTCTAGACAAATGAAAATATAAGCACCATTATGGCACTAATATTACTTGATCAAGTACAACAATGTTTCACCAATTTAAAAATAATTTAATGCTGCATAGAAACAACAAGAGACTCTACCAAAAGTCGAGGTTTCTCCTTCAAAAAAATCAAGCTCTTGGGACTTTCTCTTCTCTTTGAGAGAAAAAGATCAAAGGATGAGTTTGTCAGACCAACAAAGTTCAAAACCTACATATACTGAACACAAATAAACCATAAGAAACAGGACGAGCGTTTGTGAGTATATATGGGCATGGAAGCTAGTATAGTGTGTACACGGGTGTTATGGTGTTCTGTTGTACGACCGTCATACATATGAAGTCATTTAAGTCGTATGCGAATCATTCTCATTTTCATACAATCATACCAGTTATAACCTCACTAAGTACTGACTGTTAAACCTCCAACTGAAGGATGTGCTAATACTTAAGGGCACCACTCCTGGGCCTAGTTATACTATTAGGATTACTAGTAACTTGCAAGACATAATAGAAAGACAATAAGATCAAAGTAAATGACTACCTCATGAAAAAAACAGTCTTTTTCTTATGACAATGATGTGGAGGATCTCAGAGCATCCACATACACTGTAAAGTCATGATAATCCGACCTATGTACAGTGCGTTGAATTTGAATTTATTAATTATCTTCAACCATAAAGGCAAAATTTCTAGTATTTAATTGTGGATTAGGAGGTCAGTTAGGTTGTTAAGATTCATCAGGCAAAGGCAAATAACTTGCAGAAATGCAGATGCATAGGCTAATTAACCTAAAACTGCATTAAAAGTACAGTCAGCTATGAGAATCATCATGCCCTGCATAAGCTAACAAAGGAGCACTCATCTTAAAAAAACAATACTAAGGAAAATAATCACTATCAATACAGCACAGTGACACGTATTTGGATGTGCAACCAGAAAAAAAATCACAATCACTAACTGCACTATCCATTTTAAAAGCATGCAATCATACTATAACCATGCAGTTGAATTTAATGAACGAACAAAACAGAATAAGATAGTAGTACAGGCAAAAGCATGAAATAGAACTGAGAAAAACGATTTATCAGTTGTTTTCTGTATCCCACAAACTATGCCATCTACTATGAAAAAATCCTCATAATTTCCTATACCTCCTAAAATGTCTTATAGTTACATGTTTCATCAGGTAGCATATCTCCCATACTAAATCTCACATTGGTGGAAGTAGTACAGCAGAAAAGAAAATTTATTTAGCGTCAACTAAATCATCCAAACACATATCAAATGTCCATAGCGAGCAACTTATCAGGCACCGCATAATTTAACCCAAAGCTAATGATATGCACAGTCTATCATGGTTGATTAGGATTGATTTCACTTGGAGAATAAACAGAATTCCAAGAACATGTTTTAGAGCGCAAAATGGTCCGTGATTTATAACTGCAGAAGGTCAAGTATCAAGCTAGAGGACAGAGAATCGTAACACATCATTGTAGGCGTCTGAAATTTTTTCGGCTTTAGCATTCATTTCGGATATCAGGGGTAGATGCGCCCTTCCGTGCTTCGCGCACATATTAAACGCGGCAGCTCAGCTCCAAGACCATGCACCCATAACACATCATCATTTCGCAATCGAAACAAGTCTCATCGACCTCACCTTGGACGAAATAGGCCTCTGACGGCCATCCCCGCTGCGTGGTGAAGCACATGGCCTCCTCCTTGGTCATCGCGGCCTTAACTATGGTGGCCCTCGCCATCTCCGCCGCGTCGACGGCGGCCCTCGCGTTGTAGACGACGGTGCCGACGAGATCGGACACCCCGAGCGGCCGCCGCATGGGCGGTACCCAGTACGACCCCCCGGGCACGAAGGGGAGCCACTCCGGAGCGGCCCGCCGCACCAGGACGCCGCGGATGGCGTCGTTCAGGCGCCCCATCCCCATCGGCTCCTCCGCGGAGTCGCCCGATGAGGTGGAGGAGGCGGACTCCTCGGAGAGGTCGATCTCGATCAGCTCCACCTTGTCTGAGAGGGCGCGGTGGGGCTGCAGGGAGGACCCCGGGGCGGCCGGGCGGCCTAGGGTTAGGGTTCGCGCGAGGAGGCGAGCCATGGTGGTAGATGGCTAGGGATCGCGCGGATAATGGGAAGATTTGACACGCGACTCGCCCCGGACGGAGACGAAGACGATGGAGGTTGTGCGTGGGGCCCGCGTGTCATTGGCAGTGGGGGAATCGGTGGCTGGCGCGCGGGGTCCAACCCGTGGTCAAGGGAGATGCAATTTCTAAGTCTCATTTCTGAAGGATGCATTTTATTATTTCTCTTAACTAGCAAAATTACCCGTGCATTGCAACAGGAGAAACAAATTATCACCCCTAATGCCTCCATCCTTGTTGCCACTTCTTTTCTTTATTATCATTGTCGGTCACGATGTTCACTACACAGCGAACGTTTCACCTGAGCTTGGAACCAATACAAAATTGCATCGCCTGCATGGAAAGACCAGCGAACGATCGTGTTTGAGATCCCGGCCACATCTGCATAATCTAATGCTTGCGCCTTGTGTTTGTGTTATCCGGATTTACATCATAATAGTTTAGTACTAGTCCATGAAGAACACAAACAACCACCAAATTTAACTTTAGTTTAAAACGATCAACACCTTTTTTGCGGGCTAATGCGATCAACACAAAAAAACAGTGTAGCTTGCGAGTTAGAGGTCAACGATTTTTTTCCTCATATCCTAGACGGGATGGCGGGTTTGATTTGTTGGGCCGGGTCGCACGGATAGGTTGGCAGGGCATTGTTTTTTCTATTGGTGGAACGCTACACAGATCAATGGGGCAGAGGCCAAGTGGCCCAGGATAGATGATCGGTAGAATAGCCTAGCTCAATATGAAAAATGCCATGGACATACGAAATGGAAGGACCAATAAGATTATACCTCCATTTATATAAATATATAAAATAGTATAGATGCCCGTGGGTTATAACAGATGAAACAATTGACATAAACTTAGCGGGGACTGTATGCGCAAATATAACGTTCAATGTGTTATAAATTTGGCGCAAATTTAGTAAGAATTATAAGTGTAAGGAAAACATGCCACACTCTCTGTTGCACCAAAAGAAAAAAATGGCATGAATTTAGTGAGTATCAAGCACGCAAAAAACGCCACATTGTTTTATTCATAAGATATGAATGGGGCACTACACGTCTGCCATTGATATCCGCACCTCCTTCAAAAAGAATCTGTAATTGCCATCTATTTACTTCCTCTCATTTTTCTTTCTCTTTTCTTCTTTATTTATCATGCAATTAGTGTCTATTTTATTTATCTTTGTTTCCTTATATCATGCATGTGAGGAATCCAAATTGTCGGCCTGTTAATTACTCATGCGGTTAATATGGCGCTCACAATAATTACCTTCTATTTCCTTTCTCCTTCCTTTTTTTATTTCTCATGCAAAATATCTATTTTTTTCTTGCAGACTCCACATAATTACCGCCTATTTCCTTCCTCTCTCTTTTCTCTCTCCTTCCTTCTTTATTTCTCATGTAATTAGCAATTAATGTCTATTTCCTTTCTTGCTGGCCTAATTATGCATAATAGCTATTGCTCTCCCCTTCATTTGTTTCGTTAAGGACAATTCTTATTCATGTCATATTCTTTGCTTAACTAATAGAAAGCCCGTGCGTTGCCATGGGCTTTTGAAATATTTTTTTGAAGTTATATATATGCATGTTAAATTTCACATGTATAGAAAAGATAACCAGTAATAATCATGTAATAATTGAAGTCCACCTCACTTACGATATAAGTTGATAAAAAGGTAATTTGACAATGTATATATTGAGAGCGGTGATCTAACTAATAATCTCTTATAAATTAACATCTACTTGATACCCTTAAAATATTTTGCACAATATCAGAAATGTTGTCTTTAACTTTATTCACATTATATTTAAGCAAAGAATAATAAGAACTTCCTTAGCTCAAAACTACAAAACTATGCTGCAAGGGTAATATATGTAGTTAGCACGATATTTTTGTGAAAGGTCTCAAAATGTGCAACGAATAATACTCATCTTGCAAACCAGACAAACCAAATCATTACCGTTCCATGAGAGCATACAATCAAAAACAAAATACCCAGACACATCTCTGCAATTTCCTAAATTGATATTATCTTGAATATAGTGATAACAAAAACAAATGCTTGTTTCTTGTTTATTATGATAATGGAATATATAAATTTAATCGTCTGTGCTCATTGAAATAACATATACTCACCACAAAGAGGCCGCACAACAGAGCAATCCTCTCACTGTCTCCACACAATCATCGTTTCCATGGCGCCTCCCCTTTCCTCAACACCGTCGCCCGACCACTCCCCTCCTCTCGACGGAATTGGCCGGCTCCTCCTCTCCCTGCCACAATCACCCCCTCCTCTCCCCTCCACAGTGTCGGCGCTCCTCCTCTCCACACCATCGATGGAGCATGTCTGCTCTTGTCCCCGCCGCCTCCCTTCCCTCGAAACAGAAATGTCCATGTGTTTTCACAATGTGGATTAAATAATGTTTTAATCCAAAAATGTTTATTAACATAATGGTGTGTGATTTTTGTTCATATAACGACAAACTATTTCTCTCTCACTCCTTTCCTCTGGGGTGTGTCTCCGTAACCATCCTCTCTTTACAAGGAGGTGACCCTTACAAGAAGACAAAATAACATCTTGTCCTCAACAACCCTCTCCTTACAAGAAGGTAAACCTTAGAAGAAGAAAAACTAACGTCCAATAGTAGCAAGAAACGCAAACTGAACCATATTTGC